TCAATAAAGTAATAATGGAGAGCTAAAGTAATATTCCTTATACATTTTATCGTAATTCGGTAAACAACAACAACAAAAGAAACACCCCCCCCCCGACGTTTCAATTACGCTGCGAATATTATGGATCAAAATTATAGAATTTATTCAAAACCCCATCCCATTCAAAAAGAAAACAGAAAAGGCTTTCAAAGGCCTGATTATTTCTGTATGGTTTTTACTTGATCTATTCTATCGACACTTTTCCTCAAGTGCATGTTGATATAAAACTAGCAGAATATCTTTTTAAAAAATATATATACATGTGGTCTTTCTAGAACGATTAAAAAAATAACAATGATGTCATCTTGTTAAATAAAGTGTTTGGTAGCTTTCTCCAGACCGACTGACAAAATTTTATCAAAATGACCCGAATCAAAACTGTTTTTAAATTCTCGGCCGTGTGTGATATTTGTTAATTGAAGTTGTTTCTCTCTTTCTTACCACTGATGCAATAATTTTACACTGAGTCAAGAGAGAGAGAGAGAGAGAGAGAGAGAGAGAGAGAGAGAAAGAGGAAGCCATTGATGACCTGACCACTGAATGCTTATATGCAAAGCAGTACCCGATTGTTTGATTATTATGATTTAATTGCAGGAGTGTTGAATCTTGAAAAACAGTCTTAATTAAAATCCCTTTTATTAGTGTTGTCATGAAAGAGATGATTTGCAGATGGATTTTCAATTAATTAATTCTAAAAATCTTTTTAACTTTGTAAAAGAGCAATCAAACTGAAATCAGTGAATTGCACACCTTAAATTTCACACCTTTGAATATATATTGAAATTTTGCCCGAAGGAAGGTAATCTCACACCTTTCAGAATTTAAGTCTATACGATTATATACACATATATTCCAGAATTCATCCCCACACTGACTGATCATTACACATGCCATTTCCTGCTTATTATCCAATTGTGTATATTACATAGCTTGTTTCAGAATAACTACTCTAAAAATTATTTTTAAAAGTTTTCCTAATAAAAATCACATTTCAAAGTGTTGATTTATGATCATACAAAACATATTGATTATTCTTATTAATAGATACTATTTGTTGAAATTTTATTAATTGATAATTATTGTGTTATTACCAATGAAAACAGTCATTGATATCTATTGAATGAAAAAAAATTCAACATATTTTGATGTGAGCAGAAACATAATATCTGTTATTTATGTCTTTGATGTAAGACTCATTCAAAAATCTGTTGCAACTTATTTCAATAACCATGATTAGAATTCCTACATGAATAAAATATTTTTCAGTTTTTTTCATATCATATAACAGAATCCATCACCAGGTTATATATTCAGTCAGTCGTACCGGTGTGTTCAGTTCTCTTAAATGGTCATAACTTTTTTTCTTTTTCAATGAAATTTGGCAAGTATGGTTTTATTTTTCTTGCAATGGCATTAACTTTGTAAATCTTACATCATAAATTGTATGAGATCTGAAATTTACATAGGGAGAATCCATCACCAGGTTATATTCAGTCAGTCGTACTCGTGTGTTCTCTTGAATGGTCATAACTTTTTTCTCTTTCAATGATATTTGGCAAGTATGGTTTTATTTTTCTTACAATGGCATAAACTTTGTAAATCTCACATAAGTATAATGAATTGTAACAGAACTGAAATTTACATAGGGAGAATCCATCACCAGGTTATATATTCAGTCAGTCGTACTTGTGTGTTCAGTTCTCTAAAATGGTCATAACTTTTTCCTTTTTCAATGAAAGTTGGTAAGTATGGTTTTATTTTTCTTGCAATGGCATAAACTTTGTAAATCGTACAACATAAATTGTATGAGATCTGAAATATACATAAAGAGATTCCGTCACAGGGTTATATTCAGTTAGTCGTACCGGTGTGTTCAGTTCTCTTAAATGGTTTTTTCTCTTTCAATGAAATTTGGCAAGCATGTGTTTCTTTTCTTTGCAATGGAATAAACTTTGTAAATCTTACATGATAAATTGTTAGAGATCTGAAATTTACATAGGGAGATTCCATCACCATGTTATATTCAGTCAGTCGTACCGGTGTTTTCAGTTCTCTTAAATGGTCAAAACTTTTTCATTTTTCAATGAAATTTGGCATTAGTAAGGATTTTTGTTTTCTTTTAAAAGCATGAACTTTCTAAATCTGAAACTATAATTTGTAAATATTAAAGGACCGAAAATTTCATAGGGAGAATCCATCATCATGTCATGCTCAAACAGTCGTACTGGTGAGTTCCCATAAAGTCAGTTTATATTATATAATAACTTTTTTAATGGATAGGGGTGTTTTTAAACATTAAAAAATAATTCAATATTTTAATACTTGAGAAACTTTTCTACTAATTATTCAAAATTGTCTCAAATTCCCTACCACAGGTATAAAGATTGACACATAGGGTATTTCTCTGTGTATCCATTTAGGTAGACTGCTAGCACCAAGGCAATCACACCTGTACAAAATTAGCCCCTCCCTCAACTGGAATAAAAATACCACCAGGTAGAAATTCTCTGCCTTTTAATGACCATTTCTTTTTCTTCTTTATTGTCAATGATATTTAGCCAATTTGGAATAATTTTTTTGTTGTTGTTGTTGTTGAAATATTTTATAAGATAACTTTCTTATCTGCATTATATCAAGTTACATTTATATCCACATATATTACTTGCATTAATTTACAAAAAGAAGACTATGTTAAAATGTAAAATTTACATACAAATCTTGTTGCAGTGATGTTTAACAATTAGAAATCAAATTGATAGTTGTCTAAAATATAAAATATATTAACTTTACAATATTAAAATATTTAGGAGTTGATGCCTCAGATTTAATTACACCGGGAAAAGCAAAGACAATCTGCGCATAATGGTATAGAGGCATAAAGAAAAACCTTTGTGTAGAAGTTGACCCCTCAATTATTTTACAGTGAAGAAAACTATACCTTAAGTTCGACTTGGTTTATGTACGAGTTGACTGTAAATCCTAGAGATCTCAACTGCGCTTTGTAATCGTAGTAAAATAATACATTCTTTTATGCATTCTTGCAACAGAGATGCAAGAACTCGGACAGAAAAATTTGGCCATTTGGTTGAGTCAATAATTGATCTAAAGAATAAACTTTAAGGATTAATTCACGTACATTTAAATCAATCTAGTCTCATTTATATTCATTTCATTGAGATATTGGTTTAAAATGCTTGAATAAGTCCATTATCATCTCAACACAAAGTGAAGCAACTAGCAAGTGAGTAAATGGTCAAAGTTATATCAACAGGTACAGCTAGTATAGCTGTATGAGCCTTGGGTAAATTCACCTTGCAACAGAAAAAAAAACTGCAGGGCAAGCGTCATACCCACCGGTGGTATCTATAGATGATCTGTTTTTGTATTGTATTAACAATTAAGCAATAGCATGACCTTTTCTAGAGGTACGTACACACAAAATGTAGATATCAGCGCCTAAAACTACTTAAAATGTAAAAGACAAACTTAATGAAACCATCATTTATTCTCAATTACATGTACATATACAAAAAAATTAAATACACCAAACAACCTTTAATAGATATTTCACCTTTTACTGCATATAGTACTTCTGGAGATATTTTCCGCTTGCTAATCTGAACGCGGTAAGCTTTTTACGTCAAATCCTATTGTGACGTCAGCAATCCGCGATCTATTATAAATAATTTTAAACTGGTGAAGTAGGATAATTAGATAACTATATAAAAAAGACATTAATCAAATTCACAAAACTGATAACATGTACGGAGACCGTCATTTTGCTCATTAAAAGATTTTGAAGAGTTATATGCCTTTGAAATAAAGAAGAACATTTTTGATTTTACAAAATTTCTGCGGTAAATAATTCATTTAATTTCAAATTTAATAAAAAGTGAGAGAGTATGCATATTTTCACCAAGAGATTTATTTGTAATTCAAATCACAGATGTACTCTTTACAATATCTTTAAAAAAACGTATGCTGCCCATAAACTTCAATGTAAAATTCAATGTGAAATTAATTAGACAATAATAAAGATTTAGTAAATTCCTTTGGTGTAGCATTTTTATTTGATAACATCTTTAAAATACTACCATGATCAACGATACTTGGTCATCCTTTTATTAGGTACACTATATGGTCGTTATACATTGAATACCAAATTTTTGTACAAATTTTAATAAAGTTTGAAGATAAAATGTCCCTTTTTTAGACTTCATGCTTTTCATTAGGGCTGTTTTGAAAGAATTCTGGTATTGACGGTGTCATTAGTAAGTACATGTATAGGCTTATGTCACCTCTGCATTATGGTCTGCAGAGCGAGACATCGTTCCCATCCTAAACATTAGAATCATTTATTAATTGTGCACCATAAAATCAACATGATCACTCTCTTTCTTCTCCATTTAGATTTGTAGTGCAAAAACATCATATATGTATATGTTAATGTTTGCATTCCACAACCATGAGATTTAAATCTCTTCGCCTATTTGCGGATACCCTAGATTCGAAAGTGGTCCCGTTCAAATTTCCGGAATGTAAGGCTTTTACATGCCCTTTCAATCACATTGTCTGTAATTATAGAAATATGTATGACAAAAAAATCTAGACATAAATATCAAAAGCAAATGCTTGCACATTAATCATAGATTAAATTAGCGATATATTGTAATGCTATTCTTAAAATGGGTAGCCAAAAAGGTTCCATAAAACGTACTTCAGTGCATTCATTCTTTAGCTGTTTTCTGATTTCTACATCAAATAAAGGGTAGGAATAGCCGATTACATACCTTTTCCTTCACTTTAATTGTATTATAAGTAATTTTGAAAAGAAAGTAGTAATAAAAAGATAAAAAATAAAATATTAGCGGATTAAAAAGAAAATTCCAAAGACAGTGTTAAAATTTCAGGTACACATGTAGTGCAATTCTTAACTCTAAGTATTTCAATTTTAATTGTAGTTTAACGACTAATTTCTCAGAACTATACCATGAATGTGCAAACGACAAAACTTGGCTTCAGACAAAAATAGAGCTGAGAGATATGGACAAAGTGGACATAGATCGCCTCGAGCAAATCAAAACGTATATTAGCAAAACTGTTACAACAGCAAAGAGTGAAACACCTTTAAAGATACCAGCAAAGTGGATAAGATATGGATACATCTTGGAGGCTTTAAAAGATGATACACCAGTACTCAGTACGACTGAAATTTTAAAAATCATAGACCGTCTTAACTTTGAAATCGGAGATATTGAAATCGGCGATATGCTTGAATTTTTTCATCGCCGTGGGAAAATCCTTTATTTCAGTGTAGAAAAATTAAGAGAAATTGTAATTTTGAATGTTCCGTGGTTTGTAAAATGCTTTAAGCATATTGTTTCCCACCCCGAACATTTGCAAGAAGATCATAGGGAAGTCAAATCAACGGTTGAACGAAAATGGAAATGGTATTTAGAAAAAGGTTTCCTGGAGGATGAACTCTATCAAACTTTGATACGGGAAAAAAACCCAAGTCTAAATATGGAACATCAACGAATATTAGGTGAATATCAGAATAAGTTAGGAATGATGTTTCACATAGACAATTTTGTAATAGATAACGAAAACTTAAGTGGTTGGTATGTGCCATGTGTGAATACTGTAAAGTTCAGTCCAAAAGAAAAGCTGAAGACTGACAGCGAGGCGTCCCCAATTCTATGTTTTCTATTTGAACAGTATCTGCCGTATGATCTATTTGGTAGATTGATTGTGAAGTGTTTGAGTACTAAACATTGGACACCATATGGAGGACATCTGTACAAAACCGGTGCATATATGCGTTATGGAGCACAGGAAAAAGGAGTGCAGGTGTACCTCTTTACATCGGAAAAGGTTATCACTGTTCAAATCATCGGACGGAAAGAAGATTCGACAAAATATGGACGCGCAATCATTACAGAATTAGATTTGATTTTTGAGCAATTTTTAAAAACTTTTTATAAATCTTTAACAAAACATAAAATCGGATATTTGTGCAATAATAAAAATGGCTATGAAAAGAATTCCCATGAACATTGCATTATAACAGAAAAAAACAATGCATATTGCAAGTCATGTGAGAGTGTTTTCGAAACAGAGATAGAGAAAGCTAAAGAGTTTTGGGGACAAGATAGTGAAAAGGTAGGGATTTTTAAAATACAATTTATTTACATTTTACAAGTCGTACTTTGCAATTAAATTTAGTGATTATTTTGTTTTCACTACATGTAATTTGCACTATAAATATTAAGCATTTCTAAGCTAGGTCATTCTTTTATTTTGAACTCTCGTGTCCTTTTTAAGCACATGGGGAATGAAGTAAGGTGGTTAAGGTGTATTTAAGTCACTCTACAGTTCTGGCAGTACATATGTTCATTTTTCTTATAAAGCAAGGTCAAATCAGATCATTGTTTAAGATACAAAAATCTTCTTTGCATCATGAATTGGCAGATACTGTGTATTTATAAAAAAAAAGTGTAAGTTGTGTCAATGGGACCAGACGTCATAGATGAATAACCATCCACTGTCAAACAACCCAGGCATTTAACGTACATTGTACGATAAATTGCATTAAATATTAAGTCATCATTGAACAGACCTTACATATCCGAATGGCTGACTTTAAATCAAAATACAGCGTTGACATTCGTAAATGAATGAAATTATAATTAGAATTAATCTTTTTGTTGGGAATACTAATATAAAAAGAAATGTATGACGAAAGCTGTCCATTTTTAGAGGGGGAACCTAAACATTTGGAGCTTCGTTTCGGGAGGCACCGACACTTTTATGAGATCCCCTCACTAATCAATGGCCCTGGTTACCAAATAGGACTACCAATAATACCAAAACAATATATGACTAATCAGTCACTCACTCTAAGTGTCAAGGTCTTCTTTGAAATCCTTAGTCCCCCGTCTAGTTTCATCTTTGAAAGGATTTGTAGTATTTATGAAATTCATTCTCCATATGAAAGATCGGGGTTCCCTAAACATTGATCCTTGACAATGAGTTATTTAAGGTCCTCAGTTCTACTAAATTAACGTCACAAACACTACTGGACGAAAAAAGTGCTGAGAATCCCAAATTTTACTGATAATGTCTGATAATTACTGATACGGTGCTGTTCTTGCTGATAATTACTGATATTTACTGTTATTATTACTGTTGTTGCTGATAATTTTAGTTGTTGCTGATAAATACTGATAATTACTGTCGTCTTTTACTGTGGATTCTGATAAATACTGTTGAGGTACTGTCGCTGCTGAGAATTGCTGATAATTACTGTTGAGGTACTGTCGATGCTGAGATTTACTGATAATTACTGTGGTCATTGTTTTTAACCTGGGAATGGATTAAAATAGCCTAAGAAATGATTATTTGTTTTTTTTTTTTAAGCATTTTAACAAATTCATTAGAGTCAATTACAAAATAAATTATTCTAAATAAAAAAGTAACATTTTATTAATTTGCTTTCAGTTTTCATATATTAATTTCATTATAATAATTTTTGACCATAATGTTAACATAAGCTTTCATAAATGTTTATGTTTTTTCTTTAAATTTCTCCTTACACGTAGATGACATTATCTGAGGAAAATTATTCTGTTGTATTTGCAGTGGTTTTTCTTCCCAAGTACTTTTTTAAAAAGTTTAATTTTTGTTCAAAAAAATCTCATCTCATATTTTTTCTCACATGTATGTGTACTGTCATCAAAAGCTTTTTGTGGATTTCTTAAATACTTCAATACAGTCAATGGTTTCAAATTTTAATTTATTTTACCGTGTGGAGAACTGAAAATGCATGAGCATATTAAGTTGAACCCCCCCCCCCTTTTCCAATTACTTTTAAATTAAGCTCTCATTTTTAACAAGACAGTATTAAATATTTTTCATAAAATCCAGTCTTGAAGCGTAAACTTTGTTATTTTATAGAAGAATGTGACAGGGTTAAATAATTAAATTGAAGCATCTTTATTTATTTTTTTTATAGATTATGTAGACAGCGCGCTCTAGTTCTCCGATGTCCTCCCTGCGAATTTTATATCGTGTCGCTTTCTAGCTTTCTCTCTCTCTCAATCTCTTTTAATTTATTTGTTAAGGCTTAAGGATTATACACTACATGACATAAATCTTATGCAGAGTGATTTTCAGTCAATGAAATATACGTCTTTCTTTAGGCTAATTCTTTTTTTATTGTATACACTTTTAAGTCTATGCATGGGCATATGGCTTCTAATATTATGCGCCACTCCTTAAACATGTTATATGCGGTCAGTCAATTAAAAAACTAAATAAAATAAATCATTTACTTGAATAAACTTTTTCCATTAATGCAAACTTTGTGCTTGTTGTTATTGAACATACATGTCAACCACGTGTAAAAGTTCTACTTTCGTTTTAGAATCGGGTCAATTATTAGTACATTCTGACATAGGGATATCGTTACGGCTTGCGTTTTTGTAAAATTAGAATTTTGTGCAGTGATTATAATTATTTTTTAATTCCATTTTTCTCCGAGACCTTTGTATAAACGAAAAGTACAGACTTGGTGCTTATTTATATGATTTTACTTGATTGTAGCACAAAAAGGAGGGGGTGAAATACTGTTTACAATTAAGTGATAGCCGATAGGGCAAGGTCTGTTCTTTTGTTGTGTGTTTTAAAAGTCATGCAAGTTATGATAATATACTTATCGGTTTTTTTTATATGCATGAATAAATTTTTTTTAGAGAATCAATTGCAATGAACCATACACATTTCAGAACTGAAGTAATTATAACATTTATTCATGAGTGCGATACACAACGTCATGCATGTTTCTGACATTCAAAATCCATACATTTAAGAGTTTTTTTTCTCGGATTAAGCGAAGTGGAGTTTCCCTGCATTGGGAACAATTCATGCTAATATTAATTCAAAAAAGTGCTTCACTAAACAATCTTTCTCTTTATATCTATATGATTGTATATTTTGCACACTTTTTTTTTTATTAAAAGTGAAGTTAATTTCTCGTCTACGTATTTATCGGTCCCAAACAATCATTAGCAGCGATTCAGAATTGAAAATACATGTGACCACCTCCCCCGGAATATTCTTTTATCTGATAAACAAAATATACTCCCCGGCCTAAATTCCCTTACTTCGCATTTATAGCAACCTACGAAATTTTTTTTTATTTAGTTTCTTATTCACGCATGCCTTTTAGACCTACTGTTATGTATAAAATCACATACATTTTATATGTTTTTGTGGTCTATGTATACTAAAGTAAAATGGTAAAAAGATTCATATTTAAATGATTGATTGATTGAAGAAATATGCGTAAAACTAAAAAATGAAATTAAATACTGAAGAAGATAGATCTTTGAGAATTGAAATAATAATGAAAATAAGTCTGTACAACGTACATGATGTACGAGGGCCGTTCAAAAATTACGCGGACTGTGCTATTATTTACGCTTACAGACGTCATATAGCTATAAAATTTCACAGTAATATGTATCTTAATGATTCCAATAAATTTCGGGCAAAATTTCTGTATTTTAAAAAAATTCTACTAAAATTATCGGTATGTTGATGTCGTTGATGGAGAGGTAAGGCGCACGACAAAAAAATTGAAGCAAAAGCATGCGGATTCAAAAATTTAACTCAATGATTTTCTAAAATTCGCGATATTTTTCAACAATTTTCTCAAATGTACCTTTAAATTGTTCTATTATTATGTATTAAGATTTTGGACGTAATATTTGAAGTACTAACAGAAATATAGTGATTTTTCTCTGATGCGATTCCCGTAAAAACGACTGTGAAAATGACGTTTCCTGAATTGACGGCGCACCAAACTTTTGTTAAAATATGTGTAATGCTCGAGATATCGGCAGCATAGATCCAAAATATGCATAATAAAACATGTAGTAAACTAGGCTACTCATGACATTTGCCCACAAATAGCAAATTGAAATTTTAGACAGTTAGACCTCTGTAAAAAGGCTATACGGGAGGACGGGAAGAAGATTATAGACGAAAAGTTAACTTTATCCGGACTGTAAAGAACGTGATTGAGAGTCACCAATATCACACTATATCTCATAAGTAGTTTTTGGTTTTAAAACAAAAAAGAATATTCTTTACTTGTTTTATAGATTTTAAGCTTGACAAGAAATGGTGTTTGGATGTTGAGTAGATAAGGTAACTCAAACTATACAGGTACTCAAGGGAAAATGTTAAGAAAATGAAAGCTCAATTCCATATTTTTTATAATGCTTGTGACGTCGAAGATTTTGCTGCGCCGTGACTTAATGGTATGTCCTGAAAAATCACTCAAAATCAATACCAATTTACAACATTTTTATATGAAATTTTGAAGACCATATAAGTAAAGATTCTTTTATATTATTTGTGAAATTTTGCCCGATTATATGTCAAATATTTCTTCTGTGCAACAAGTCCGCGTAATTTTTGAACGGCCCTCGTACATGCATATATCTTTTTTTTCATTATAGTACCAAAGTGTTCTATTCTAAATATTTTTTCTATCAATTTTATATTCGTCATCAAATTCAATATTACGGTTTTTTTTTTCGTGCGACCATAATCTTTAAGATTGTTCCAAAGTAGCGAGTACATGTACAGTGTCTACAGGTAGTTTGTTCATTGATAACACCGGTAGCCGCAGACGAAGAACAATAGGTAATTAGTGCCCATTGTTACGCTGACCACTACAATTTGCATGGAATATACAAGTTGTACCCCGTTCTACCCCGGGGCTGAAGACTTGTAAACAATACAGCAAAATCACAGGTCGATCACCGATTTCTGATCAATTGAAATCAATTAAAAGGTGTTTTCCTTTCAACTTTTTACCATGCAAAATTAAAATCGATTAATTTGATCATATACTAATAGTAACATATTACATTAAGTTTCATTTCATTTATTTCCCATTCCATAAAATCAAATAAAAAAAATCAATGAGATTTCAAAACTGATTAAATAAAAAATGATTTTGTATTTAAATTTTAAGACAAACTAAATACATGTACCTTTCTACCAGGGATTCTTAACATCTAATTTTTAATCACCTCGCCCCATTTGCCGGTTGCACATGCATACAGTGTGTACTTGTACATATGTACATG